GTAAAGGTAATTTTAATATATTTGATTTAAAAATTCGCTATATCAAGGGTTCGCTATATCAAGGTTTGACTGTACTGAAGCAAGAGTAAAATTAGAATTATTTTCTAATTATGCTAACTTTTATTGATAAAGTTTAATTTGTTCTTGTAAATTTGAAATTGTTTCTGATGAACTGAATAACACTCTTATAAGAGTGTTATCCAGTTGCATTATACTGTTATCTAGTTACTGTTAAACTGTTACCTGTTACTGTTAGACTGTTATCTCATTATTATTTTTAGTGCTCTGTGACCTTTTTATTGCCTTGTAGCTATCCGCTTGTTTTTATTGTTCTGTGGTCTTTTTGTTACTTTGTAGCTATCCGCTTGATTTTATTGCTCTGTTCTCTTTTTATTATCAAGGAATTATTCATGTGTTTACAATGCTTTACGCTCTTTTTGTTTCTAATGAGCTATTCGCTTGTTTTTCTGCTTTTGGGCCTATTTGGTAGCCTATTAAGATATCGAGGATGCTTCTTTTTCGCACCTATTTGGTTGCCTTTAAAATACTGAAATAGTGTAAAAAAAGGTGACAGGTGGCGCAGTGAATTTGTGATTAATTTTGACTGACTTTATGGTATAACTCTTACTGATCTTTTGAGCATGTGATTTGAGAATCCAATTTGGTGTTGTAATAGCGTTGTGGTAGTATTCTGCTAGTATCATGAAACTCTCCTGAAACTGTTATTGAACTGGCGGAGAGTTAGAGAGTTTCTATTAGTTCGCCAGTTTTATACTAGCTTGGGTATCAAAATATTATATCCAAAGTTTTGGCCGAAATTGTGAAATAGTGTTGGCTGAAATTAAGTGAATTAATACTACGTCTTACTACGTTATAGTCATATGATACTGTTCTGGTACTGAAACACCCTCACATAGTTACTTCCCTCTTAATTGCTATTTCTTGATTATCAGATGAAGCATGAAGTGCTGAATTTGCAATCCATCTATTTGCTAAAAATGTATTACAATCTATTCACCAACTTTTTGATTGCTGGTGAGACACATGCAAGTATTTATTATTGTGCCATTCTTACAATCCCACCCTTTATAGCCTGTTTAATTGCCAAATTGGTTCAGAATTTACATCTTTCATACCTTTTTTTCATGTATTCTTCTGAGTCTTTCTGCCTTTCTGATGCTTTCCTGCCTATCATCGGTAGTACACCAAAGCATAACTTCTTATTTTCTTTCCTATATATAATTCTACTTTGATGTACTACCAAATCTATATCTTGTTTTACGCCCCTGCTTTTCTAAAACTCTTTCTCCTATAGTTGCTACTTCAGGATATTATTACATTGATTGCTTTAAAGTATTATTTGGTATATATATTGCATACTCGCACTAGTAATTGGATCAGAAACCAAAATATTTTTACGCATTTTTATTTCATTTCTAAGATATACATTACATTATTTATTTTGAAGATTACAAATTTCTATGTAAATTTATACTGCTTTCTTGCATATACTACTATGCTACTTGCGTAAAAAAAATTTGAACCTAACCCTATAGAAATAAATGAAGTAATAAGGCTTTTTTCAGATGTAACAGACCTTAATTATAAGTCTGGCTATAATGATTATACATATTTTCAACATTTATTAATATCTAATACTAAAGAGAATGTGACACTTTTAGAAGCCTATCATCCTAAAGAGATTTTTGATAAATATATTATTTGGGTAGCAGGAAAAGAGCTTTACAGTTATTGATCATCTATCTGAAGTTTATGGGATTCCTGATACTCATGAATGCATTGATGAGAATCTGCCTCTTTATCTGTTTCTGGATATTGATGCAAGGCAGAAGCCCGATCCCATTTCCACTAAAAGTACTGGAGATATTTATCTTTTTTTTTGCTTATGCAATACTAGTAGCCAAGTTTAATTTTACTTCTGAACTAGCAATCTGGATTTGCAATTGTTCAGATCAATTCTTCTGCACCTATAAAATGCAAGATGAAATTGACACTAAAGCTTTAGCATATGCCCAGAGACGTGAAGAAAGATGCTTAGGTAAAGTTAGTCCTAATACATATTTATAGTCATGTAAAAGGTCATCAATGTTATCAATGGAAGACGCCATATAAAAATATGAAACAGAATTATAGATAATGTAATATTTGCCCTAATGTACCGGAAAGAACATGTCAGTATATATTCGAAGATTTATTAAATAAAAAATTCCCACTCTGAAAACCTAAATTCTTGAAGGGTTTACATATAGATGGATACAATGAAGAGCTAAGCTTGGCTTTTGAATATAGTGGAAACTAACATTACCAAATCATACCTTTTTTTCACCCGCAAGGGCAAATGAATCTAGATGCACAAATTTGACGTGACTGGAAAAAAAGGCACTATATTACGAATAAGAAGTAATCCTCATTACAATTTCTTATTGTGTTATTAACTTAGAAACTTTTATAAAAAGCGCCTTATATGCATTCAGTTATCTCCCAATACCCACCTAAGAAGCAACATAGGCTCTTCCTTAATGTGCATTAATTATTCTCTTATAAAGGGGCGCTGAGGTCCTGATTCATCTAAATAATATAAAACAGGCATTAGAGAATTCTTTCCAATAACAATTCTCAATTCTTTAGATTTTATGTAGGCTAAGGGACCATATCGGATCTGTTATTCTCCGTCATTCAAAAGGATCATTTTCCCATTCTCCCTTAGCAAGTAAAAATCAGACAGTGGTACCTTTTGGCAACTGGGGTTCATCAACACCTATTAGGCGATTATATTTTACCAATAGTTTGGAATATATTCAATCAAGTTTTATGATATTATTCCAATTAATCAAGTTGAGCTATCATTCATGTTATCAACAATTCTTCTCACAAATCATTCACATTCCCTGCAACATTTGCCAGTAGGTAAGAGAAACTCTACTGAATACTTATTTTTAAAAACTCTATATTTGAACAATCTAGTATAATGATTGACTATAGCTAAGCTTATATGTCTGAAACGTGTTATAATTCTTCAGATTTCAACGCTATGCTCATTCATTAATAAAATCACATATTCCATAAACTCAGTACCCTTATCGCATTGTAGTTTTTGAGGCCAGTTAAGGGGGTTATTAGAGATATCATATATACGCTTAAAAGCTTCCGCAACTTCTTCACTACTTTTTGACGTAAAAAAATAAAATCCTTATACCTAGTCGCGCAATCTATAACCAACAATACATAGTAAAAGATTGGACCATTGTCTAATAAATCTATATTCACATCATCATAGTTTTTTGATCAAATCACACATATGTACAGTATTTGGTTTTGTGATTCTAGAATAGCTAGCATAAGGTATATGCTTTGGTGAAGGACAAAAAATTTGATATATTACCTGCCTATCAAGCCATTTTTTTATATCAGTAAATTGAAAGCTGTAGTTGGCTTTTCTATAAGCATCCCACAATCCTTTAGCATTTTGATAAAGGCTCTCAGGTTGATAATACAGCTTTTGTAAGGTAAGATTTCAGTCAAGATCATGCGTTTTTTGAGGATCAATATAAATCAAGAGTTCTCCCATTTTGAATCTCTTTTATAATAATGAAAAAAAAGAATGACATTTTACAGACCTCATCTGAGGCAGAAAAAACATGTGAAGAGTATAAAGCTGAGTTGGAGAAGGATAACTATTATCTTTGAGATGCATTACAGACAAAGATAGAAAATAATCGCCTGAATGAGAAACGGTTCAATCAACTGGAGCGTGAATATAGCCAGTATGAGCAGGAAATTCAAGATCTCAATAAAGATATAGAGCATCTTGAGAAAGCTTCAAAAGAAGAGATAGTAGAGCTAAGATCTAAAATCTCCAGTCTAAAAAGTCAGCTATATCAAGCTAAAAAAGATGTGCGAAATAAGAAATAATATATCTTTATTTTAGAAGATCCTATAAATAATATGTATAAGGAAAGTATACAGAAATAATATGTTTAAAAAACATATAATAAACGTAGAAAAACAGTAT